AGCAGGATTGAATTTATTCGCAAGTACAAGAAAAGATCATGCCAAAAGCAGAATATAGAGTACAGGTGTCGCTGCTATATCTTGAAAACATAGTATGTTTGTTTTGAAGTGTCCCATAGGAGGAAATACGACAGAGAATAACCATCCCAACTCTTATTACCTAAATGCTATTATTATCATTAACTCAGATCCCGTTTATCCCACATCATTATACAAACTGATATAAACTTTTCTTTATTACTGTTTTGACATTGATTATTAAACTTAGAAAAATCCATTGACCCACACATGCTTTTGTTTAATAGAAAGGTGGTGTGACCTTAACAATTTTTGAAAATGAATTTATTGGGTTACTTTCCAGGAGCTTAAGTGAGAAGTCAGCATTTATAATCTATACTTAGAGTATTATTTGTATGATTTCCCCCAGAGGCATCATATTCCTCTTTCCAGCAGTGAGCTTCTGGCTGGTTTTCCTGCTCTCTTGCATGTTGATGACATCTTCATTCCACAGTCTCCCCACCCCGCCTTCCTTCCTGCTAGTCTGGCCTTCCCAATCCGCAAGAGTTTAGTGTTGCCTGAAGACTTGCGGGTTTCCCTGTGCTTTGCCTCTTCCGGATTAGTTATAAACAGGCTAAATAAGATGAACTTTACCCTAATCTCTGACAATGCTGCTGTTTTTTTTTTTTTAATTAAGAAAGAGCCAAAACATAAAACATTTCTCCTTTTCTTTCAATATGTATTTTAAAAGTCACAGCCTGTGTACAATCAGAGATTTTTTGAGAGTCTGAAATGTGTGCCCACATTTCATATTGGTTATACACTTTGCCCCAGAAGTTGAAATTATACATAAATTTTATATGTGAAATATATACATAAATATGTCTGTACATGTGTATATAGGTGCATCTATAACATATGTTTATGCATGGGTATATATATATACACACACACAGAACTCTGTACTAGCTGTAAAATGTCCTTTTTATTTTTGCAATACAGCTATTGAGCAGACACAGAATAGGAGTGTGGTCAGAAGAAAGTGCCTTGGAAATCACAAAGCTAAAGCTTCCAGCTTAGCTGTATCCTTAACCGAATGTATGACCATGGGCAAATTATTAGACCTGCTTGGTCTTTAGCATTTTTTTTTTCCTTCTTTCTTTTTTTGGTAACAAGAGAGGGTAGGATTAGATCAGTGGTTCTCATCTCTGATTGTATATTAGAAGTACTTGGGGAATTTTTAAAAAATGCAGATGCCCAGGCCCTACCAAGAGATTCTGTTTAAATAAAAATCTCCCCTGTGAGTCTAATATGCATTCAGGGTAAAGAACTGCCAACTAGACAAACTCTAGGCTCTCCCCTGGTCTGTGAGTCTCTTGTTTTATTTCTTCTTCCTAAGACAGGATGGGCCAGGCCAACAGAACCCTGTAGGATGAGCTGTTCCTTTTGTTGAATTCATCAAATACATGTGATTATGTAGAACACTCAGAGTTGAAGAGTCCTTAGTGGCAGCCCATTAACCTCCACACGTGGTGTCTACCTGTCCACTCAAGCGTGGAGCCTCCTGGCGGTCACGGTCCCCTGCCACTCTCTTTTTATAGTTGAGGACGCCTGAGTTTTCGTGCTTTGTAGGACTCTCGGAGATGGTCCGTGTCAGGGAAGAATGAGAGCTCCCAGTTCATGTATTTCCTCCATGTGGCCTTGAACTAGTGGCCAACAGCCATAGTTTACTTCCCATCACTAACCTTTTTGCCAGTCATCCTTTTTAAACTTTTTGGTCTCTAATTTCCCTCTCTTGACCACCCTGTAACCTTTAATCTCTATGATCTCTGAAATACCAAGAAATACATTTTATTGACAGAGTGGTTACTTAAAAAAAGAATAACAGTTTTTAAGCATATTAGGTTCTAATTACCTCTGAACCTGTGGGTTGACCAGTGAATACATGATATATATTATTAACACAATGACAACTTAAAAAAAAGAAAGAAAGAAAAATTTCAAGTATATTAGGGTTCCCTCCTCAAAAACGTTTCTTTTAATTCTTTCCCCACTCCCACGGCCACCACCCGTACTTGAATCCATCTCCCTTCATCCCAGGCTCTTCTTCTAGAATAAAAATGGTGGTTGTTGATGGTAGGCCCTCTGATGAGTACTTTCAGTATCTCATTTAAACCTCATAAAAGGGGGTTTAAAGATAAGGAAGCCAGGGCTCCTAGAGCTCAACATCTACCGAGTGGCAACCATAGCATTTACTAGCTGCTGTCTATGCATTATCGCACCCAATCCTTCCAGTAACCACTTTACATTTTACCAAGGACTAAATTGTGGATTCAGATGTTCTATTTTTTCCCACAGTCACAAAGGTATTACAGTCAGCCTTTTATATCCAAGGGTCTGCATCCGCAGATTCAACCAACCACAGATGGAAAATATTTGGGAAAAAATTTCCAGAAAGTGCCACAAAGCAAAACTTGAATTTGTTGCATGCTGGCAACTATTTACATAGCATTTACATGGTATTAGATATTATAACTAATCTAGAGGTGATTTAAAGTATCCGGCAGGATATGAGTAGATTATATGCAAATACCATGCCATTTTATATACGGGACTTGAGCATCTACAGATTTTGGTATCTGTGAGGGTTCTGGAGCCAACCCCCATTGGATACCAAGGGACAGCTGTGAATAGTGGAGTTTAAGTTTAGGCCATCTCGACCTCTAAGCCATAATGCTATTACTGTTAGGATGATTACTTCCATTGTCCTCATTTTACAGATGAGGAAACAGAGGCACAGGGAGATTGTGTAACTTGCCTAAGGTCACTAGGCTGATAAAAGGCAGAGTCAGGATTTGAACATAGATCTTTCTGATTCCAAAGCCCGAGTGTCAAGCACCGAGCTCCAAGATTGCGTACTCTGTCACCTCCCAGTCTTACCTTACACACTGCACCCTGTCTGTGCATCATGCCTCACTCGGGCCCTTCGTGAACACTGATTCTTTTCTTGCTGTTCCTCTGGTCAGAAACAGTCAGTGTCTATTTCTTAGGCCTGAAGTCTTCTGTTTATTTATTTGGACATTAAAGGCCCTCTGAGATCTGTCCCCCAAAAGCCCACGCTGTGCTCGGTCAGCTCGATTCCCGTGCCATCCCACCAGCGTGCCAGACTTCTGTCTCCAGGCGTCTTTCATAGGGTTGCCTTCATCTCTTCAGCCAGTTTTTCTTGAAAACCTGTTTTGTGCTGGCAGGGTTGGATGGAAGGCCTGAAATTCTGAAGGCTTGAATCTACCTTCTCTGCTCAAGGCCACCCTCTCTGGGGAACCCCATCTTTCTCTCCCTGTCTCTTGCTGTACCTCCCATCTGAGAACCCCCAAATCTAGGCTGCAGTGTGGAGCCTCGTTATGGAGTCTTTTTATCTCAAGTCATAAGTGAGCTCTGTGAGGGCAAAGACCATGTATGAAAAATCTCGAGCAGAAAATAGGTGCTTAATAAATATAGGCATTGAATGAGTTCATTTGTGGTAATTGTGCTTGCCCCCTTAAATCATTGTCTGCTCTATGTCCATTCTGAGTCCAGAAAAACCAATTTTTAAGCTGTTGACTTATAGGAATTTTTTAGAAGTGTGTGTTATCGTGCTTATTTGAAGGGCTAATAAAACTGATCTTCTCAACCCCTTGCTGTTCTCCCAGTAAATGTCCCCTCGACGGTCATGGAAGCCATGTGCAGACAGGACCCCCTGCAGCCCTTCAACAAGAGCAGCAAACTCTCCCCCGCCGCCCAGCAGCGCTCCGTCGTCTTCCCACAGACTCCGTGCGGCAGGAACTTCTCCCTCCTGGATAAGTCTGGGCCCATGGAATCAGGATTTAATCAAATCAACGTGAAAAACCAGCGAGTCCTTGCAAGCCCGACCTCCACCAGCCAGCTCCACTCGGAGTTCAGTGACTGGCATCTTTGGAAGTGCGGGCAGTGCTTTAAGACTTTCACACAGAGGATCCTGTTACAGATGCACGTGTGCACGCAGAACCCTGACAGGTAACCCCACCTCTCGTTGCTCGCAGGCTGTGTTTGCTTCTGAGACTCACTGCTTGCCTTCCTGTCGCCTCCTCCAGTCTCACCTCGGGGAGAACTCTGTGATCAGAGGTCTGCATTCTGGAAGGTCAGAGAGTAATGTTGGGCCCCTCTTTGGCTTTATTGTGTAGGGGGCTGCATGAACAGTGGCTGCAGAAAGGAATCTGCTGTCGCTTTCCAAACAGCTCTGCCCAGGTCTAACGGGAGGCAAAATAGAAGGCACATTGATGAATATCATAGATGGAAAAATGAGGTCAGGATAATTAGAGTCCTCTCTGTCTTCCAAAGATAATATAGCTGGCCGCTCTGCTGCTGTTCAGTCGTCTCAGGGTTCACCTCCAGTGTGCCGTGGGTATGAACTTAATTAAGTACTAAGAGGTAATGAATTGGAATTTTTTGCTTAGTACTATTTTTCTTCAGGGCATGCAAACCCATAAATCCTGCAAAGCTGTCAAAAGGAAATACCTACTCTGCTAGTGATGTGGAGGAAAACAGATGCCACTTATTCAATAAACTAATATCCACACAGAAGAAAAATGTTGACTAGATACCTCAGAGTCAAAGTTGCTTTGAAAGTTTGTCAATAAAGAATTTTATGGCCATGAACTGAGGATGAAATTTAGCTGAACAAGTGAATTAAAATTTCAGGTACTCTGACGAGTGGCACAGTAGATATAATGGAACTATTATTTATGAGTCAAAACTGGTTTATTCGACAGTCTTGATAGCTGGGAATGCAAAAGACAAAAATCAAATTAATTCAATAAGAAAGGACAGTGTTTTATCTCCCCTTCACATCCTATGAAAATTTGATTAAACCCCAAATATCTAAGAATATTTTGAATATAAAAGCAGAAAGTAAATTTTGGAAGTATGATAGGAGACTCGAAAGCAGGACTCTGGAATTATTTTCTTAATTTGGCCACTGATTAACCTTAAGCCACTCAGCTCTCCTTGCCTTATGATATACACCCAACTCTCCCCTCCCAGCTCTGCAGGATACGACAGTGTACTCGAACCCAAGCAGGCAAGGAGGATAGAAGTGTGGTGGAGAGGGGGTGAATCTTTTCAGAAATAATAATGATCCATTTTAGGGTACATGTGCACATTTACATGTGTATGTATTTTTATTTGTGCCATTCTAGAAACTACTTGCTTGCCATCAAGCATTGCTGTGACTGATTGATGTTGGAGCATTTGTATTATAGCTGTAAAGGCGGTTGTGTCTTTATAATCTTTTACCTTCAATAGGAGAGCCCCCGGGTGAAAATACCCATGGACTTCTGCATATCTTAGTACTACTGGCTTTAGAGGGGACACAAAAGTTTTGAAAATGTTTTCCTTACTCCAACAGGGTCTTTTTTTTTAAAGTCTGCCTTCCTTGCAAGTATACAGATAGCCTCAAGATATATCTATTCAGTTTGCAAAGCATTTTATTTTTTTAAATATAAAAATGCATTAAAATCTTGTTATTATAAACTTGCTTTTTGAATTCAATGAGTTTAGGTGTATGGATCTGTTATTTGCACAGGTTCATTGTGGTCATGGTAACTGAATATACAAGGTAAAATGAAATGATAGTTGAAAGTTTCTGGATACAGGAACTGAAAGCTTAGCTTTGGGTATGATACAGTTTCATGCTGAATGTCATATAAAACAATGAAAATATGTCTTGGTAAACAGAAAGTTAGCAAAACAGACTTTTGTCTGACTCCAGTTACACTTCGAAAACCGTATGTGGATTATGGTTTAAGTCCCTATGAAGTCTGTTCTGTCAAATAATAATGTCAGAATTTATAAAGCATCTATGTAATCTGTCAGAAAAGTACCCTCCAAATTAGAAAACTTACATGTACAAAATAGACTTCCACAAGAGACTGTTAGGTCATCGCTGATTCCGAGCTAATCTAGAGTTACTGGCAAAAATCCAAGTGGCTTGAGACTCCCATCCAGTGCAAGACCCTGGTGGGCTTATTTGATGCAGATGCCCAGGTGTCGTTTGGCCAGGTTCCCAGATGAGGTGAAGTAATGTGCTTGATATTCAGGTAGATCACCAGGGTGGAATCAAATTATTAAAGCAGTGGGTTCCTACTTCTCTCTTCCCTGTGCTTTGTTGGTGAAGACTTGAGAGGTGGTGTGATTCACCGTCATTCATGAATAAGTTAAAACTAAGAATTATGAGTTCAAAGAATTAGTCCCTTTATAGGCAAAGTAAGAAAGTACAATGTTTCTTACTAGTAATGGGGAGATGCTTGAATTACTCCATCACATCTGAGTTGCTTACTGGAGATAAGGGAAATAGAGATGCCCAGTCTCTTTGACCCACTAGTTACATTGAGATACATAATTTCATTGAGTTACATAATTTGCTTTTAGCATATAGGTTCTGTATGGTGTTCTAGAACCTAGCATGCTCTCCTGGTACTGGCAAGTTTTGAAGTAGAAGATACTTTCCCTAATTCTTAACCACACAGGTGAATTGCTAAAGAGGAGAAATATGCAGAACTAAAATGGAACATCAATTTGTGCACGGTTGTGAAATTTGGAGTCATTCCTCTTATTATCCATGTGGAGACTTATAACTGCTGAATATACATATTTTCTTTAGTGATTGACTCCATAAATTAGGTGGCTTTTAGTCTTTGGCAGTTTGTGCCCATTCAGCCATATACAGTGAAAAAGCTTAGAACCTGCCAGTCAGAAACCATTTCCCTTCTATTTGGAAAACTCAAACGTTTTATTTTGATAGGAAAATCTTGCTAGAACTAGAGGCAAGAAAGGGAGACACAGAAGACAAAGTCAGAAAGTAAACAGGTTAGAGTTTCAAACACGTCCAAATTTGAAACAGGCCCCCAAATCTTAGGTCCAAAAGATTTTTCACTCAGCACACTGAATATTTGGCCATGAAACCCAAGACATTTGAACCTTCATGAAAGAGACTGTGTGTGTCTTTATTTGTGAGCTTTTTCATGTAAGGGACCATCAGTAAGTCTATGCCTTGATATAAAGGAAGGAGATCCGAGGATACCCTGGGTTGTCAGCATTACCATTTTTCACTACCGTGTTATTTACATTGAATGCAGAAAAAAATTCCGTTTGACCTTTCAAAGTAGCAATTAGCATTAAAGATAAAAATACACCCGTATGAGAGCCCAGGAGCCACAGAATCGTTATTTCTTGATTTATTCTGTTAATATTAAACATACAAAACCAAAAGTCTCTTCTTTTTTCTCAAGCTGCTGACTTTTTCTTTCCTGAGTGAATTCAAAGGGAAGAAGCTGTCGGAGTCTAGATTAACCTAGATCTAGACTAAGGACTAGGGACTTAGGGACCTCATAAACATTTGAGGTTTGGCATAAGCTTATTACCTGGGCCAGGGCAGCTTGACTGACTTGTGCCTGAAACAGGAATTAGAAATCCCTTTTCTCTTCTGTTTTTATGCTACAGAAACTCTCAACAGTCCCATTTGGGGGTGGGGGCAGTGGATTATCAATCATAGTGGATTATTTTCTGATGAATATGTTCTCTTTTATTTTCTGCAGAATGTCTTTTTAGTGCTTATCTTTATTTTGCACCCTTTTCCTTTCCTTTCTGATTGTGCTTACCTGGGGAAAGTTTGCCTTTAGCCTCCTGGGCATACTGTCAGCTGTTCACATTTTTGTTTTGAGTATCCTTGTTTATAATTGGGTGTGGTGGCACCAGAGGGGAAGATACTCTAGAAGGAGCTGTTTGGTGGGAGGAGCCTGGAGATAATCCATCACCATAATAGTTTCTTTGGAATGTGTCAGTGTTCTCCTGTTCCATTGTTTCCTCCTCCCCCAAATGTGAAGGTTACCTTCTTTCCATGTTCTCCCAGTGTTTCGGCTGCATACTTGAGCCACTTTCCTGAAATCTTTTTCTCCTTACATAGAGTTTAGTTCTTTTCTCACTCCACACAGCCAGCAGTGGACCTAAGTAACGCCCCGTATGAAGTCTCGGGAGATGTGCACTTGAGCTTGACTGACGGGGAGCAAGGAGACATTCCTTGCTTGTTGTTCAGTTGTGGGTCCAACTGAACAACTTTTGTCCTGGAGGCTTTCATGCCATGAAAGAAAAATCAAAGAAGGATTAATAATATTTTAAACCAAACCACACTTAATTTTGTTAAGTGTTTCATCCTTTTCCTGTGTGTACAACAAACCAATTACAGACTCAGAGTAAATGAATTGCACATTTTACTGGAGTCATCTTTAGCAGAGGAGCCACCAGTTACAGAGAATGCCAGGGGACATACAAAATTGTCTTGCTGCTTTCTTTTTGCTTAAAAATCTACTGGCATTGATATATGCTAACTAAATCGACCCAGGCTTTGTCTGTTTTTTAGGTATTTCATTGTTGAGGATAGAGCACATTCTAGTTTTTCTTGAAGCTTGATATTTCTATGTTGGAACAAGCCACATGAGACTATTTAAATTTAAATTAATCAAAGTTAAGTAAAATAATACTTCAGTTTCTCAGTCAACCTAGCTGCATTTCCAGTGCTCAGTAGCTGCTTGTGGCTAGTGGTTCCCATATTGGATAGTGTAGATATAGAACACTTCCGTCATTGACAGCACTGCTAGATGTCTCAAGTATTGTTAAAAAGAAAAACAAAAAGAACCCGCCAAAAGCTTTTACTGGTTATGAAATGTTATCTCTTTGTGAAGAATGCTCATTGCATTTGTTTTGAGAATAATAAAATGCTGTATGTGTATGATGACTTGGAAAGAATCAAAGTGCTTTAGAAACGAGAGTCCCATTTAGCTGCTGAATGACATGAGATCCTACAAAGAGTGAAGCTGAACACAGCACTTGACTATGCCAGTCCTCCTGGGCTGCTTCTGGTATGACACATCAAAGGGAGCAGAACTTGGGATTTGAAATTGATTCTATCCAAAAGTTTAATAAATTAAGGCTTACTTTTTAATTATTTTTGGTTGATGATATTTTATTTTATTTTATTTTTTTCACTTTTTTATCCCGTTAGTATTTGTAGAACTTTTCAAATCCCACCCTTTATTCTATGAGTCTTTTTTTTAATATCCAATTTTTAAAGGTTACACTCCATTTACAGTTACTACAAAATATTGGCTCTATTCCCCATGTTGTACAATGCATCCTGGAGCCTATCTCACACCCAGTAGTTTGTACCTGCCACTCCCCCACCACAGTATTGACCCTTTGACCAGACCTTGAAAAGTTAATGGGAATGTTAGTCATCACAATAAAAAGCTGAGTAATGGCAACTGATTCTGTGCCCCCAAAGCCCTTCAGCTGTAACCTGAGAGGTGAGGAGTCAGTGTGTGCTATTAAAAACATCCATACAGAGTCTTAAATCCTGTGGTCAGTTGTCCCAAAAGAAGTTGTGATGTCTGAGATTCTGTGGTGATGATGATGTTTTCTAAGTAAGCCTTGCTCTTGGGTTTGAAGATTTCATTCTGTCTTGAATGTATTCCTATGCCCTTAGTTGAACTCTAGGATACAATTAATGTTAAAATTACTTTTTGATCATTTACTTTTATTCATTTTTAGGAAATATTGAAAATCTAGGGAAAGTAGGATCTTGTCTGTATTTTCCGGGGCCTAACTTTCCATATATTTCTACGCTGAGAGAGAGAATCTGTTAACACAGTGGCAAATAGAGTACACATTTTAGTTCTAAATTCTACATGAAGGGAAAGAAGTATCTTGTCTGTATTTTCCGAGGCCTAACTTTCCATATATTTCTACGCTGAGAGAGAGAATCTGTTAACACAGTGGCAAATAGAGTACACATTTTAGTTCTAAATTCTACATGAAATCAGTTTCTGTGATGGTGAATATGACCATATGCTCTAAAATCTTACTCTTTAAGGTACCAGGATTAAAGGGATATCACTTTGTTTTTTGAGATCAACTAAAGTTGGGTCCTGTATTTTGGTACTAGATTTTCTTCTTGCTCTGAATTCTCAACTGTTTACCAAGTAAGTTGAGATGGTCTGTATTCTAGTTAGCATGACTAGACACACAAAACCGTGGAAAGCTCTCCCTGCAGGGCACTGGCTGGTACACACGATGGAGGATGGAGGTCACATCGTCGATGCTGTCTACTGTGAGGCCATGTCTTGGACAGATCCTTAGGTGGCACGTGCTTGTTGATTATCTGAAAGCAGGAACAGAACATGATGGGATGTGAGAGGGCATCTAGTTCAGTCCATCCTGCTTACCAGAGAGATGAGGAGATGGAGAGTCAGGGACGTTGGGCGACTTGTCAAGTCCCACAGCTAATTGGGGTCAGAGGCTGAAGCAGGACTCACCTTTCCCATCTCGCCCATTCGAGGCTGTTCCATTCAGTCAGCTGAATTCTGCAGTTTTAAAAGCTGTGCCGTAGGTCACGGGATACCTAGCAAATACCGCTCAGGCTGGTACTGGCCAAGGTGATGTTTTATAATCTGATTTACCTTTCATTGGTGTTACCTTGATATAAGAATTCAGCATAAGCCTCTCTGTGGTCATCTCTTCTGTGTGTAAATCTTTGCCACCTTGACTATTAGCATAAAAAGGATGGAATGACTTCTGACTATAGGAAGTAAATCACCCCAACTTTTGACAGCAGAGTCAGAAAGAAAAGATTAATTGGTTTTATTTAGTGGCTAATTGTTTATTATGATAGCTATTAAAAATAGATAACCAGAGGCTAATAAATGTTAATGGTCCTTCACTATTAGAAAAATCAATTGTCAGTGGATATAGCATATATTAATATATTATTTTGTTTATAATCTTCAATACATTTTAAAAATTCACCTCTGAGAGAATGATTTCTTGAGGACCCCTTTAAGGTTAATTGTTACTACAAAGAATAAATTTGACAAAAGGGTATTTTCATCTGCTTATGATTTTAATGGCTTCAAAGCTTTATTTCATGATTGTAATAAAATGCACATGCAATTTGTCAAGTTTGATAAACTCCTTACCAAGGACTCTTATATATATTTCTTTGAAACTTGTTTGAGAGCAGTTAGATAGATTTCTAAATGTAAGTAATTAAAATTGTATATTGAGTTATTGACCAATCCCAGACTATTAATCAAGCTAAAAAATTCTACAATCAGTGCTCAGTGCACTGAAGCCTGGTAAAATAATCGTATTTGTGTTCAGTGAGGCAAGTAGCCACAATTAAGCACTTCACTCGACAAATGAGAGGGTACATTTTATTTTGCATGTAATTGAATTGTTGTACATGCTCGGTCACCATTGTTTCCTAGCCCTTCATTTTGGTTTCTGGTCATTGGAGCTTATGCATTTGCTAAAGGTAGAGCAATTAAGTCTGCTTTTGCCATTGGCTTTCTAAACTCAGCCAGAAATGTCTGAGCCACAAACCAAGGCTTCCTGAGCTCTGTTGATATTGCTCATGACAGATTATTAATTTTCTCAAGAAAAATTTTGATAAACAAATTAGAGCCCTGTCAAGGAATGATATGAAATAGCCTCGAATAGGGAAAACTCCCCAGGTTTTATATCACTCACCAGATTCTGCTTAAGTAAGCAGAAGAACTTCTGTAGAGAAGACAGAATTTTAATTTATTTTATGAAAACCAAAAATTGATTTCCTTCTCATGAGCTGAAAAGAATGCGCTCTGATAATCTTGCTAATTATCAGGTATTTGTCACAACTTCCTTCCATTTGCTTTTGCATCCCAGTCCTCCTGCAAACATAGTGACATCCTGTCATTTCTGTGCTGCTATAAATCATTGCTTGCTACCAGATTAAACTGGGGAGCCGAAGTTCACGAAAAAGACCCAGTGGATAAATATGAGTTTAGGTTGGGGCGGGGAGAGAGTAAGTAGAAGTCAGGATTTCTTTTACAAAGAAACAAATCTGGGTGCACGCCTGTGTTGGCCTGTGCACTATCAGACAACCCCAAGTTGGGGATGTGCTATAGACAGACCCCAGGACAGTCTAGTATCTATTAAAACACACATGCAGCTTGCTGACTTGCCTGCATCTTTACCTGGGACTTAGAATAAGGTCCAGTCACCCTAGAGTGACCTTGGCATCAAGAGCTTATTTCCTTTGAGGACAGTTTATCCTCACTTTTGTGAACTGACAGAGATCATAACATCCGCTTTCCCTGAGAGGATTACTGGAAAGATTAAACTAGATAATTGATGTTAAAGCACTTTGAAAAGTTAAAGTGCCCCAGAATTACAAGAGACAATTACATATCTTCTCTTGTACTGTTGTGCTTCATCAAGTCTGTACTCTCAACTCTCCAATATTTGCCTGGGGGTGGGGCTCAAAACAAGAAATAGGGGTTCTTGAAATGGTATGGCTAATACCGGAAAGGAATATTCTTTGGGGAATGAACGGGTCTCATCAGCTCTGTTAATTTTGTTCGTGTGGCAACAAGTATAGTCATGAGAACCTAGCAGCCCCAGCGCTCTGCTTTGTTACAGAAACTGAGAGAACGTCACCAGAACGTTTTGGCCCTTGCCTCATCATGCTAACGTCTGCTGACTGACATAGAACGTAATGACCAGGCAGTGTCTTCATTTGTTTCAGGCCATACCAGTGCGGCCACTGCTCCCAGTCCTTTTCCCAGCCTTCAGAACTGAGGAACCACGTGGTCACTCACTCCAGTGACCGGCCTTTCAAATGTGGCTACTGTGGTCGTGCCTTTGCTGGGGCCACCACGCTCAACAACCACATCCGAACCCACACTGGAGAAAAGCCCTTCAAGTAAGTAGCGGCTCACACTGTATCCCTTTTTTCTCTGAGCCTTTCCTGAGAGCCGGCAGACAAGGTGGCCCAGCACTGCCTGGCTCAGCCAACTGGTGGAGAAAGCTGTTTTAGAAAGTCAGCATCCAGGCTGCAAAAGGCCCCGCTTGTTTAGTGGTCGATACTGGGGAAATGAAGTCAGGAAATTTATACGCTGATCCTGGTTTGAGCTGTGCCACCTTGGACTTGAGACGTTCTTCATGGTCTGTTTTCTCACCAGTAAAATCAGGAAGTAGGAGTAAATAATTTTAAGATTCTTTCTGGTTTCTGAGGGTCTGTGCTTCTAGAATTTGAGCTAGGAGGCATGCAGAATGCCATCTCTGACCATCAGCAAGCAAGTCCCCTGACCATCAGCAAGGTGGCCACAGTCGAGGACAGCTGAATGAATCGTCTCTTGGGAAATCTGAACCCTTTAGGATTCTGATGAACGATTTCCTCCTCTTTTATATTTGTTAAGGGGGTTTGAATCTATTATAGCAGCCAATTGGTAGCTTTTCAGCATGCCCTTTGGATCTCAGATTTATCACGTTAATGCAAAAAAGAAAAACCAAACCAAACATAGCGCATGTCTGAGTCCTTGAGGATTCAGGGAATGTGGAAAGAGAACGGAATTCCAAGGGCTCTGGCAAGGTAAGGGCACCTGAGCGAGAGACTATGTTTCTAGATATAGCACAGTCATGAAAACGGTGGACATCTGGATCCTGCAAGATGGTCTATTCATTCACTCGCTCACTCATTCATTCATTCATGTATATATGTGTTCATTCATTCAGCAAATATTTATTGAACACCTTCTTTTGTACTAGGCACCCTGCTAGGCGCAAGAGATATAAAGGTGAATGAAACTCATCCCCCGGTCTTTGAAGACCTCATAGTTTATGGGGAAGCCCAATTAATAAGCAAGTGTTACCACCTAGGGTGAAGGGTGCAAAAGTGAAAAACAATAAGGCATGTATATACAGTGTTTCGGGGTAGCACGAAAGTGGAGTAATCAGTGCTGTCTGGAGAAGTTGATGTTTAAGATGTGTTTTGAGTGATGAGTAGGAGTTTTCCAGACGTACAAAGGAAAGGAGGCTTTCTGGTAGCCCATGTGGGACATGGAAAGGCGTGGGAGGGTGAGCCAGCTTGGGTGAGTGGTTGGTCATCTCAGAGCACATTTTACTGTCTGTGTGATAGACTCTTTTTTGTTCAACCCTCTTATATCTCTCTTTCCTCATTTGCCATAATGACTTTCCTTGATTAAGGAGGAACATGAAAAGGGCATGGATGAATGGCCTATTTACCTTCTGTAGGACAAGATCAAGCAAGAAAGGAAATGATTCAGGCAGTAGGAGGTGAATCCCCTTTCTTGGTCTCAGCCAAGGAGTCTTCCCAGAGTCTCATTACCCATGCTTTTCCCTCTGGACCTGCTGGCATAGCGTGCAGTTGCCATGGTGCTCAGCCTGAGGCCGGGCTCAGCTTGGGGTGGCAGAGTCTTGCTGGTCTGGGTCCTGCCTGCCTTGGTGTCTGCCAGGAGAGGCAGAGACTCATAAAAGGCTGTCATCTTTACCCACCTCCCCATGAATTAGTTACCTTTATTCATTATTCTTAACTGTTTTCCATTGTGGTTTAATTTATGATAGTAATTAATAGTGAAAAGTTTTAATTTTTGTCTGTGTACACAGGTGGGGCTTATTTACTGCATAAAGGCATCTGGCTGAGGGCACTGGATGGGGTCTAAAAATCCAGCCTTCACTACACCAGCCAAGCAGTGCCCTCTGGGGCTGCCATAGCCCAAAGGGGCCCTTTTTTAAAATCTACTCTTAAGGGCTGGGTAGGTTAGCACAGTCCTCGAGTTCCCTGTGGCAGGTGTCTGTGTCTGCACAGTGGGCTTTGTCATTTCCTCCAGGCCCTCGGGGGTTCACAGATTCTGGTTTCACCACTGTTCTAGATGTAGAAGATGACAATGACACATTCCCTGTGCCTTTGAGCAAGAGAGCTCTTCAAAAGCAGAGATGCAGGAGGACTGACAATCCTCCTGGCCCCTTATATTAGAGAGGGTAGCCAGATGGATACAGTGCCAGGAATCAGATTGACTTTTATCTTGTTGCTGTGTAAATAGATTTTAGTAATTAATTGAAGAGGTTTCAGGGTCAGAATGGGAAATAGATTTCTATTAATGTTAAGGTGTTACTTAAGTATAACCTCGTTGACTCCAGTCAGTTTTTTTTCCTTAACATCCTGTTTTTGTCCTGTTTCCAATAGAGGTGCCATTTTAACTTAATTTTAATTCATCAGATTAATATTTGAAGGGCTTTAGTACTTGTATGTTTTTCCTTTCGCAAAGTATTTTTGGGGACCATAACCTGATTTCATCTGGAAAAACAAAAAAGGAAACACCAGAGTTCGTTGGATTAGATTCAGTGTGCCTGTTTTAGTTCCTCCTGCTTCTTCTCATATTAAGATAGCCATATGCTGTAGAGTTTGTTTTTTTTAATTTATCAAATGTTAAACATATTGCCAGGGGAGAACTAAGTGTACGCGTATTTTATAAGTGCAAGATTTAAACGTCTTCTAGGAAATGGAAAGCTAAATCCTTCAGTGTATACAACCAGATCATTCAGGATTGAACTACCCCAAGGGAATTTTGGGAATCTTCCAACCATAGCTCATGGATATCCATCCCATGGACATTTGTAAATATTATGAGGATATCCTTTTACAAGCCTATAAAACAAATATTCAAAAAAAGTTTATTGCAGATTAGTCAATAAAATGGATTTTGCCACAATGGTTAATTTTACTGCTTCAACTAATGGGTATTGGCTGAAACAATGTTGCAAAGAAAGAAAAGAATCTTGTAAAGATACACAACCCATGCCCCAAATGGCTCAGCCCCCAAATTGTCCTACCTACCCAGGGCCTGGGAGGCCTCCGCAAGATTCTTAGGGGCCAGGCCACAACAGGGGAAAGCCTTTTCTAGCTTCTAAAATCTTCTGCTGAAAAGTGATTTTTCAAGGCAGATCAAGATTATTGCCATACAAGAAGCCTGGAGAAGATTTGGCAGTACGAAATGAGAGTTTCACTCCAGGCTTTGTCTCACAATCTGATTGGCTGAAATGCCACTGAAAGACTCCATCCCCCATGCTCTAGGTAGATCGTGGGCTTGTCAGCAGCTAACCTAGGCTGTGGATGCAGAATTTATAAGGTGAAGGAGATCATAGGAAAAGCACGTATCAAAGGATCATATTGAAGTTTGTACTTTCCGTTTGTACTGTGAGACTGGAAGTCGTGGAGAACAAGGAACAAAATCAAGACAGCATTTCATCTCACAGCAATTGCCAAGCACTTTATCGAAAAGAGGAAAGAAGGAAGGAGGGAAGGAAGGAAGTTGTCAGTCTCAAACTTACTCTTGACAGTGAGAACCCCTTCTCCTTCTCTGTTACTAAACATAATCTCTCAACATCTCAGAGAGGCCGCTCTGCCCAGGATCCATGTGAGCTGCTTGATGCCTGGCTTTTGCGCCTGGGAAGACCAGGACTTTCCGTAGGAGAGTTTCTTTTCTTCCTCTTCATTAGAAGCAGGGGAAATACCACTAAGTTTTTGCCTTAAGTGAAGACAGTTTGGCTTAGTATAAAAAATAATCAAAGGATATTCCAAAGAGCATCTGATATTTTAGCAAGATCTAGGCAAAATCAAAACAAACCAAAAAAACACATCAGTAAAATGCATTAAGCACATCATATGTACGAAGCAATTTGGTTTCATTCAGGAAATATTTGGTGACAGGCCATAGAGGACCAGAAAGAAAGCTTCCTGTAGGTTTTCTGTGAACAGAACTTGACATCGTTTTGCACATCTGTCAGTTTCAGATGACAATTGTTAAGCTCCCTCTGTACCTATAAGCCAGTCAACTATCACAGTAAGTAAAGAATGATCTCAAATCTTAAAGGAACTCAAGTCTAATTAAGATGCCCACACTGGCAGAAAGTTGGAGAATTTCTCTTTGCTGAAATATTTGGATGGCTTTCCACTTCACTGTTCCTGCAATGTTTCCTTAAAGGCTGTGACGTCAGCACTGAGAGGAAGACCCTGTGTGCCAGAGCAGTTTTAGTCTCCTAGATCATTACCCGCATCTTTCTTTCTTTCTTATTCTGCTAAACCGCATGAAATCCAGGCTTGGAGGTGCCCATGGCCAGTCACTTGGCTGGGATTGTAGTTCAGGGTTAATTCAGTGCCAACACAGCTGAAGTCCAACTCTGACCTGCCAGAACCTAAGCATTTGCATTGAGTCTGTCCTTCTGATGTGTTCCATTAAGCCATGAAAATAATTTGTGAAGGGATTTTTGTTCTAAAATTAAAGATGATGAACATAAAACTGAGGCTCTCCCCTTATTTAAAAATATTTTTATGTCAAGTTCTCTTTACATCCTTAATTATACAAATTACATTCTTATAATTACCAACACACGTAGGTATTATTTCTAGTAGCCCACTTTCCTCAAGAAGGGGAAATTTCTAGGAAAAGGATCTAAGTTAAGGTAATTTTCTGCACATCTGCATGTGTTTTTACTCACACTTGGTGAGCAGATGGCCCTAGAGATGATTTTTCAGTGATGATCTCAGGAGAGCCCTATAGACTTAGTAAATTTCCTGACTATGACAACAAATGGTTCCATGAGTGTAAATATCTGTGAGGCAGTTAGGCAAACACAGGAGAAAAATGTTAACTCCCCTCTTACTGTCTCTGCCCAATCTGGGTGTTTAATATTACATATAGACATACACATTTGCCTTATGTGAAGCACCACACCTCCCACTTCTGAATTCTTTATATTCTGATACACAAGATCAAAGGTGCAAAAACATGACCTAGGTAGCTAGTCATAACTTATAATTTTTGAAACTATTCTGCTCTCTTTGAAATTGATTCTAGAGCTTCAAAATTTTAAAAAAGGAATATAATAATTTGAAAGTTTGTCAAGCAGTGAAAGGTAGTATATTTTGACACACTAATCTAGTAACTAATCAGTTTTCTAATAAACAATCAGCAATTCACTAGCATGTCATCAGCACTTCAGGAGCTCTGGAGAGGGGATGAGCTGCCCATGGATGTTAATGAATACACCAAAAATCATTAGCTGATCAATACTTCTGAGTTATTTTCATTGAGCTGATAGGTCTGATACATTAAAGCTGACATTATACATTTGTCAAGATCACAGTGCAGTTTTTAACAGTGGAACAGGCTGCTAAAAATATCCCCCGAAAGACAATCGAAGAAACACAACTTCCTCATGCTGACGACACATTCAGCTGGTGCAGGAGCCCAGAAAAATCCAAGCGTGATAGTCAAGCTCCAACCTCCCAACGATAAAACATATGCAAGACTCCCTAGTAGGGATAGATGTGTTTTTATTTTTATAGGTAATTATTTCCCTGGCAAGGCACTTTATATAATTTACTCAAAAGGAAAAAGACAGAGCTGCCTACCGGGTAGTGGGGCATGTGGCAAGTGATTGGGCGTGTGCGGATTTTCTTCTGATGGCTTTACCACAGCCCTACTAGTGCAGGGACCTGAGACCGAAGGTTGCATTATTTAAAAGAAGAACAACTGTCTGCAGCTCTCCTGAGTATCTTTTCCTTTTAAGGTTTCAGGAGAGGACATTAGTGGGAGCGCTGAGGGGGCTGCTGTGCCCCAGTGGGTGCTCGGCCAGTGCTCCAGGCAGCCCAGACAAGTGGAATAGTGACAGGGAAGCCACTGTCCATGCCCATCTTGCTGCAGCAGTGTGCGTGTGTGTGCGTGTGTGCGTGTGTGTGTGTGTGTGTGTATGTGTGTTGAAGGTTGTGTAGCCATCAAGCTAGTCGGTGTGTGTTGCAGGGAAGATGGCTTAGGCCCAGGGTCTCTAGGTTAGCATTTTTTTTAAGTTAAGGAGATATTCCTGAAGTGCGATGCTAGCCAGTGTTCTTATCAGACACACCAACCCTTAATTACGGCCCACGTGTACATTCTTCCTGCTGTACCTTGTAGAGGTGAATTTGAAGCACACAAACATTGGTTGATTTCGGGGTTTTCTCAGTCCTCTATCCCAATGCAAACATTTTTTAACCCTAACTTTGGTGGATCTGTGATACTCTAGCTTTTGCCCAAAAGCGGTCACCCACACCCACCCACCACAGTCACTGAAAACTAATGCACTGTTTCTTCCAGTTTCCGAATTCAAAGATGATGGCTCTCTGGCTGCTGTGCTGAGGGGAGTAGAAGTCCCGATTTTAAATTAGCAGCAGGTGAAATTCTATTTGTCATCAATTTCTCTTTGGGGTTACGGAGCAGAAAACTGCAGACAAGCTGCTGCTTTGATGGCTCACTCCTAAAAATCTCTTTTTGTTTTTTATCTATTTGAACTGACAGTGATCAGAGCTGCAGCAGGACAGGGCTCTCTGGAGAAATCACCTTCCCTCTGCCTATTGACATATCCCTCTGTTCTGCATCAGCCGGGCTTTGTCCCATCACAGGCATCCAGGCCTTGGAAGGAGCCACCAATTAAACCTCTTGAGCTGGTAAAATCTGAAGCCACTTTGGAGTGTCTGTTCTGATTAGGCAGGATGAGAGGAAGTCCATCAACCTGCAGGCCCTGCTCCCTGGTCTCAATTTTCTCTCTTGCCTCCACCAGGTGCGAGAGGTGTGAGAGGAGCTTCACGCAGGCCACCCAGCTGAGCCGACACCAGCGGATGCCCAATGAATGCAAGCCAATAACCGAGAGCCCAGAATCAATCGAAGTGGATTAACTGATTGACTGGTTGGAATTAAACTTCAAGGAAAGTCATGATTAAATGTCACGGACACTTAAGCAAAACCAAAGATTTCCTCTGAGCAACTTTCAATCAGTCCCGGAAAACCAAAAGCAGTAATAAAATAAGTAAGATGTTAAGAGATATTGATCCTGGCGTGGAAGTCAGACCAGGAGAGAGATTATTTATTTATGACTAGGGATGAGACTCATTTCAGTGGACGACTAACCTGGGATGGCTCACATTTCCAGTCCCACCGTGTATTTGCTTTGTTTCTAAAAAGCTTTTTTAAACTGTTATTTAATACCAAAGGGAGGAATCGGATGGGTTCTTCTGCCCACAGTTGTGACTAAGAATGCACAGGGACTTGTTTCTCGTTGCACCTTTTTTAGTAGCATGATTCAAGGGGACCCATTGTACAGCCCTCTTCCTGCTGTTTCAGTTTGGCCTGGCCTGCCTCAGGCTGCCCAGCAGGGACCACAGATTTGGGAGCCAGAGCCTTCGCTGAGTCCAGGCCATCTTCAGCCCCATGGGTGCTCCATTTCTGTGTTTTCCACACTTATTATTTCTCATGCACTTTTCTCATGGCTCCTTCCATCCAGCAGCCTGGTCTTGATGCAGAACAACCTGGAAGTGGAAGAAGATGGTTTAAAATTCAAAATTCAAGGGGGAAAAAAAAAGGGGACTTAACAGTGTCCGGTCAAGATTTCAAAAACATTTAAAATGTACGGAGCTTCATAATACAATATATTGTTCTGAAGCAGCTAGTGAGAAAATTTTGTTTTCAATAACATTTTAGCCTAAAAAAAAAAAACATGAAAATAAAGTTCTTCAGTATGAGGCTGAATATAAGGTATTAGGCTTCCAGTAATTTTTTGTTGTGTCTATGAAAGTGTTGAATATGTGAGCAAAAACAGTGCCAAACCCCACTGTCAAAACCATTCTAGGCACTTTCATCTTCCTTCCTCGTTCCTCCAGGGGAAGCCTGGGAGGCCCTCCTGAGTGTGGGGCATTTCTGCAAAAATAGGTGAAAATAGCCCAGACAAGGAAACCTTGAGAGGAGGAGCCACGGAGAGGGTTGTAGTTAGAAAAGACCGCCCTGAACAGCTAATTTTTTCAAGAGGAGTTCCCTTCTCATCCCCTCCGGCCCTTGATAATATTCTTCTTTCAACACTGATCCACTGAAAGAGAAAGGAGTATGTATACAGTTTCACTGATCTTTGATTGAGTGCCAGGAAAATGGGTGTCACTTCAGCTACCCTTTGGGCAATTTAGCAATGGTGCTCAATCAAATTGTGTCGCATTCCACACAATAATCCCGCATCAGGAAGAACTGACGGCTCTTGCATATTAGCTGTTAACTCCCAGCAGCATCATGAAGACCGAGTCTACCTTGATGGCCAGTGTAAATCTGAACAGTTTAGAGTACTTACCAGCAGCCATCTCTTGTTCGTAGACTTCTTGGTCACCTGATAGCAGGACACAGCCCGTTAAGGAACTCCTTGTCTTTTTAGCCTTGCCATTGTCTTCTCTTAGCAAAAATGTGAGACACATAACAGAACTGGCCACCGAAAGGCGAGGATAGCTGTGGTTTGGTTTAATCTACCATCATGTATTTTGTCCTCAGAAATCTTCCTCTTCTTTCCATTTCACCCCCTCATCCCTTAGCACCCATCTGCCACATTTAAAATGGAGTGAAACGGGGCCTTACTAATTGTGTTTGTAACTTACTGATATATGTCTCAAAATAATGTCTCACAGAGGAATTTGGCTAATTCTGACCTCAGTTGCCCAATCTGAAGTCCTTCTGATTTTCCCCCATTTCTTGCTGTCTCCTTGTCATGGAAGTAGTAAGCAATCTGTGCTTCTGTGTAACTGTTTCTGATGGAAAATATTTTCTTCGGTAGATTGGAATGTGTTGTGCTTTTATAGTTTCTTGCCCTAAGTGATAGAGACGTTTGACAAAAGTGTGAGCCATTGGGAAGGGTGGAGAGAATATGTAGCCATATTAACCCAAAATCTGCAAGAAAGTGACAGACTGCCTATACAGATGAGCAAGCTGCTCCATTTATTCAAGTTGAAACATTTGGTTGTACTTTTTCAAAACGATAAGGGACTCATCTGTATGTTTCTAATACTGTTTTCAGTGAGAAAAACCAGTTCTGCCTTTTGCCTCATTTCACAGTTTTACACAGTGCATCCCACCCTGTGCTCATGAGCTCCCACGCGAATATGAGAAGCCTTCACTCCAATCTTGATACCCCGCCTGGGCAGAGCCTCCATAACAGTGGTCTCTACCACTCTAGTGGCTTTGCCAGCTGATCCCGAAGTCCCACTTAATATGGCGGTAACCTCTATACTGAAAGATTCTTCTAGCCTTCTGCTCATTTAAGTCTCTTTTTCTCCTTTATTAGTAAGGGCAACTTTTAGCATGTCTTTTCTACCAAATGTGGTCTGAAAATATTTGCTACTGAACAAATAGAAAATTGGGGACATTCAAAATTTTCATATTGCTGAGCCATTGCTGACTTCTAGCAGACTGGCCTTGGCCATCAGTCTACGAGTAAGATAGGCCTATACCTGCCAATTGACTTGGAGCCCTGAAGCGGATACCGCCATCACTTGGGTCCCAAATGCTCTTAATTGAAGCTGGGGGTGGGAGGCAGTTCTCCTTAAAACCTCCCAACAATTGCTTTAGCCTTTTCTATTTAAAATTGACAGATATTTCCTAGGGACACTACAAATGAGTGGTAAACACTGCAGTCATCAAGATCTGTCAGTTTTCTTTATTAGCAACTTCCTAATTAATCATGGTATAAAAAGAAAAAAAGAAAAACTCTGAGTCATTGAGGAGAGGGGAGGATATCTAAGATGAGAAAGGGAGACTGTAAGAGCTGAATCCGTGTTTGGCTTTTGGAGCAATCGTTTTTTGCCCCTTTCTATCAATGGGGGCTGAATCTTTTTTTTTTTTCCCACAATAAGACATGCCATCCTAGCACATGCCAGTTTGTCTAGCTAAGAGCCTAAGCTAATGGGGGTGATTCCAGGTGGGTGTGCAGACATCACATTTCTAGAAAAATCTCAGTAACTTTAGGTAAAGCTGAATATTTTCCCCAGGAAATGTGCATAAATTACTTTAAGATAAGCTTTGTGTTTTCGTTGTCTTTGTCTTTAAAAATGACTTTTTTTTGGAAGAGATATGCTTTTATAGAGTTGTGTGGTTAAAACTATAAAAATCTTGTGTACTTTATATAATTTGATTCAATTAGTAAATATTTATTGAATGTCCATTCAAGTATAGCCTTATGGGGGAAAACTGTGTATAATAGAGAAGGTTTATGGTACACTAGTGTCCTCACAGGGCTTACAATTTATTGGATCGTACTTTGGGAAAAGTTCATTCTAGTTGAGATAAACAAAGATTTACTAACATTTACCAACTCATCAAATTTTTTTCGTCACTTGATTGGTTCACTGTTTCATTCATTTTTTCATCAAGTATTTATTGAACTCTTATTTTGTATAAAGACCACATTTTAGGTGTTCACCGTAAGCAGTTTTACTTAATTGAATATTGGTGAGAAAATAATATTCTCCTCCTAAGCGTCTGGCTAATAGCATGGGCCTTTTAGGCCTTTAGACCATTGTCTCAGTGAAGTTACAGAGATTGCTACAACTGGGAGAATCAGAGAGATGTAAACTCAGCTGGGGACCAGAAGGTAGCAAATTTCAAAACAAATTAAGGTACACAACTAGGATGTCTTTGGCTGATCAGCCCCACTGTTGGTTCTTAGCAACAATCACAAGATACCAAGATTAGGGTCTGGGTCTTAAGATTTTTATGACCCTGTTCCAGTGATAAGGTAACAAATGGGGACAGGGCCGGAGTTACTCAGGGCAGGAGCTCTGCAGACCCTGTGTGGGTCTGAGTGGCCTTGTGAGTGTCAAGCCTTGGCAATGTAGCCCTTGTCCCCAGTGTGTGGGCCGTGGTGCTCTGAGAGGTTTCAGAGAGCACCATCAGGGTGGATATTCACTGCTGGTTGAAAGGTAGCAGTTGTTTGGTTAAGTTTGTTTTTGAACCTCACTGTCAAGCTCTTTATGCGCTAAAGCTGGAGGATCTTCCTCTTCAGTGGCACCGCCTCCAAGGCCCCAGGTGCCTGGCACATCATTGCAGAACTAATTGCTAATAATCGGCTCTGAGTTGTGCATTTAAGAAACTGATGTTTCATTGCTTTTCATAGTAGAAGTAGCATCATTACTGTTATTTGTTTTGCACCGATTTTTAAAATCAAATGCAAGTGGCTGTTGAGTTGTTTAAAATGGGAAACGTGGCACATCTCACAAAGCAGGGCATTTCCAGAACAGCATGGGGTCATGGGTCCTCCGAGCAGGCCCAGGAGCCTGTGTTGAGAAGCAAATCCATCATTCTCATATTAAGGCTACATATGTCTACAGAAACCAGGCCAGGAACAACAAATAAACTAAATAAACACATTTTCAAAAAAGTTGGTTTCAATTTTCCTTCCTTGACATGAATTTAATTTTATTTCCCATCGCCTTTACCAATTCCTGACACCAAATCCTGAAAGATACTAAGAGATATGCTTCTTTAAGTGATAACAGTAGGTTTCAGAAATGTCACTCATTTGTCAAGTTCCTTTCAAGGTGAAGAGGTTTGGGGACATTTTATGAAGTGACAAGATGTTTAGGTCCTTATCCACCCAAGAGTTTGAGGCTTTCCCCATCACTAGCACTTATCTGAACTACCACAAAATAACAACAGAGTCCCAGGAAAAGCCACATATTTCAAGCCTTCTCAAGATTAAATTCTACAAACCCAACAATCACCTGTCACATACAACTGGCCAAAGAGAGCCAAACTGAAAAGAATATTGCTTTATCTATGGGAGCCTTGCCACAGATGTTTAGCCTGTGATCCACAGTTGTGTTTAACATTTAAAATATTTATTTGATTTATTCTTTTAAGTAATGTATGTCAGATGTTTCATCAAATCAATATGAAAAATGATAAAAAAAAAGCAAAAATATGCCATAAAACAGGGCAAAGACATAAAACCATTGAATTGTCTGCCCTGTATACTGAGATGCTACCATTGTACTTAGGATTACAAAAGAATCTGCTGGGTATATTTTAATGGAAAAATAAAATCTGAGCTTATTCCCTCATGTCGATGGGAATAATAATAATGATAGCAATTTATATTGTGCAATCACTGTCAGGCAGTGTTCTAACTGCTCAACATGGATTATCTAATTTAATCCTTGTAACATAGATACTATCATTATCCTTTTCTTCTATATACTTAATCTTATCTTAGCAGCTTTACATTTTCACCCTCCAAAACCACACGACAGTAATTTTTTAAAAGGGAAAATGTCTCTTTATTCAAACTCTTTTTAAGCATATGAGCTTTTTAAAATAAACAAACACAAGTATAGTTTATTGATCAAATGAATTTGTGGAAACAATACTAAAATATTCTCAAAATATGCATTATTATAGTTGCTGATTTTGTATCCCTAAATCTGTGCCTCTGGACAGCAGAATTTCAAATATCCCACTGCTGGCAGGTATTGTTTTATTTTTCTAAACATGCAACTAAAATTCCACAGTAAAAAAAAAAATCCTCTCAAGTGTGTGATACACATTAGGACAAATGGCAACAGGCAGGAAGGCAGGTTATGTTGGACACTGGCCAAAAAAGAACGAGGCTTGAACGCTATTGACAAGTGAAAACACATCCTGAACGGGGCTAAGTGAAATCTAGTTTTCTTTCTTTGTTCTGACTGAATGCTAAGTGAGTTACTTTTCAGGCATCAATGG